GAAACACCAATCAAAATTTAAAAAACAAAATCGAACCTTGCTGTTGGTCTCCTTTACCTAGTTACGTGCATACTTCATTAAGCATATTCATGTTGTATTAAAAGCGAGATGCCTGTTTGTAGATTATATGTGTGTGTGTATATAAGGAATTTTTTATTGCTAATAGCAAAATAATGACACATTGTAATAGAGAACAAAAAGGAATTGTTTTTTCAAATTTGAAGCTGAATCATTCTAAGGTTCTACTATTACTTTCCTGCCAGCTATAGTGACTTATTTTGCATATTAATGATTGAAAAAGAGTAAATTTGGAGAATTATATTTTTAATATGAATTTTAAATCTGTATGAGGAAAAATACTTAGAACTGTGATGTATTATTGTACAAGAGAATAGAATTATGGACCATTGTTGATTAATAGACACAAATAAATAACTCAATAAGCACAAATAGTATAAATATGTCCCCTGCTTTAAGTTTAAATCAGAGGTCACCAATTCTCAAATATAAAACTAGTATTTTGGGGGAAAATTACTAAAAAAGTAAATATTTACTTCTAAGAAGAGGTCTAGTGGTGAGTGGGAAGGGCTTTTACCTCTTATGTGATGTATTTTTGTATTATTTAGTGTTTTTTCAAAGAGTGTGTTCTTTTCTTACTTGGGTTATTTCTTTAAAGTTTTAAATAAAACAGTCATGTAATTCCATCATGGGGAACTTGGGATATACAAAACAAAAATATTTTTAATTTTATCTCTAAATCCCTCCCTGCCCATTCTTAGTACTTCTCATCATTAGCATTTTGATGTTTTTTCCGGTCAAAATATATATAACCATTCCCCTATTCCAGGGAATTAAATGAAGTTGGCAGATTAAATTAAGTGCATATTCATTAACTGATATTTTTGCCATCATGTCTGGCCAACAGTTTGGACCAGACCCCCCACTTCTCCTGGTCTGCGAACAAGCATTGCCCAAGCCACTTAAGAAAATCGAATGCAAAACTGAAAGCATCAACACATCAAAAAAGCAATATAAATAGAACGGAGCAGAGTCTTGGTCCTTGTTACATCCTTTACTCCACATTCATTGTACCCTTTAAAAATCAAGTTAAAGTAAAATCACTCTTCGCTTCACATGCACCCTATGTCCTAGGTTCCACCTCCTCAATGTTGCTTAGCTTGGGCTGCAGGTTAACTGTTTCTAGTCTTGTTCCTAATGTGAACAGGAGAGATTCCTTTGTATCCTGCTCAGCCGCGCGGATATGCGCGCGCACGCGCAAGCGCGCTTGTCTTTTACGGAGATGAGGGAGATACTTGCTCCATTCCCAAAGGCGCCAAAGACATAATTAAGTGTCCCTTCTGATGGATGACGCTGCCCTTGGTTCTACCCCGCTCTCGCCCCTGCCAGAGGCCTTTCCCCCTCCTCCCACTCTCAGATGTCCCTGGGTCCCTGACTGTAAATAATTAATAGAAGCTGTTACGTGTGACAGGAAGCAAAGCTGCCTTACTCACATCTATAGGCTCTTACACAGTAAGCCCTTTTCGGATTCTTCCTTCCCAAAATACACAGCCAAGAAGTAAAACACCAAACAAACCAAAATAAACCCACGATAATCTCCACGCAGACACAGTGATCTTGCATTCGCATTTCAGCAAAAACATACGTGATGCTCGTCCACGTAGGTGGATTCTCAGAGCGCTGGCCTTTGCCACAGGAAAGTCGTGGCTCAGAGTGAGCTGTGAGGATCCCGGATGGTGTCGAGACCCGTGACTGTGAGCAGCTTGTCCCTGCCTTTCTGCAGAGCAGGGTGTTCCTGGACTGTTGCAGGCGGGGCTCATTCAGGACGCCCCTGGCAGGCCACGCCTTTAGAGTGAATCGAGTCCTGTATGTCCGTATTCCCACCACGTATATTCTCCTACTAGTATTTTTGAAAATTACTTGCTCACTTGTCTGTCTATGTTTTCCTTTATCCGCCCATCAATCCTTTATTTTTAGTACATTTCAAAATTGGAAACACCTGTACACTTCACCCTCAAATACTTTAGCATTCATTTTATTGACCACTGTTCAATGCTGTTTGTAATTTTTTTTAGGTAAAATTTATATGAAGTAAAAGGTACACATCTTCCCTGGACTATTTGATAAGTTTTGAAACAATACTAGTGCAATGAAATCATCATAAAGATATAGAAACATTGCTCTGGCTGGTGTGGCTTAGTTGGTTGGAGCGTCGTCCTGTACACTGAAAGGTCACAGGTTCGATTCCTAGTCAAGGCACATAACTGGGTTGTGGGTTCAATCCCCAGTCAGGACATGTGCAGGAGGTAACCAGTTGGTATTTCTCTCTTACATAGATGTTTCTCCCTCTCCCTTCCTCTCTCTCTAAAAACAATGAAAAAAAATGTTCTTGGGTGAGGGTAAAAAAGGAAGATTTAGAAACATCACCCAGACAGTTTGCTTATTTCCCTTCCCCAGTAAACATCATGCCTGTCCCTACCCCCAGCAACCGCTCACTCACTGTTCTGCCTTTTTTCACCCATAGATTAGAATCATTTTGTGTGACCATTCTTTCATTCAGCGTTGTGTTTTCAGATTTCTGTTACTTTGTAAATCAGTAGTTTATTCCTTTTTATTGCTGAGTAGTTACCAAACCACAGTACCTAGCTGTTTATCCATTTTGGTGATGGATACCTACATTATTTACATTTTGGAAATGTTATGAATGAAGCTGCTATGAACATTCTTGGATACAATTTTTAGACATATTTGCCTTGGGGAAATATCTAAGAATAGCATTGTGGGTTATAGGGTAGGCGGGGGGTTTTTTAGTTTTATAAGAAACGCCCAGAGTTGTTTTCAAAGTGGTTGTGCTATTTAATCCTCCAGCCAATAAAGTATGAGGGTCTGGTTGTTCCATACCCTCACCAAGTCTTTAAATTTTCATGATTCTGACAGGAGTATCATGGTGTCTCTTGGTGGTTTTAATGTGCATTTTCCCAATGACAAATGATATTGAGTTCTTTGAATATCTTCTAGTTGTTCCCTTCTTTACCCATGTTTAATTGGATTGTTTGTCCTTTATTCCTGAGCTTAGTTTTTTATTTTATATATATTCTAGATGCCATTGCTTTTTTGGATATGTTTTGCAAACACTTTCTTTTTATATGTAACTTGCCCGTTCATTTTAAAATGACAGATCAATCTTTTGATGAGCAGACCTTTAAAATTTTGGTGAAGCCTAATTAGCAATTTTTTTCATGGTTATTGCTTTCTGTGTCCTAAGACAACTTTACTTACTCTCAAGGCAGGAAGCTGTTGTTCTATTTTTTTTTCTAGAAGCTCTATAATTATAACCTTAGACTCATGCTCCATCGCAAATTAATTTTTGTTTGCAGTGAGAAATGAGTCTGAGTTTCTTTTAATTCAAGGCGGATGTCCAGTTCCGACATTGCATGTTGAAAAGGCTTTGCTTTTCTCACTGTATTGCTTCAGTGCCCGTGTTAAAAAGCAGGTGAACATACAAGTATAGGCCTATTTCTCAACTCCTTTCTGTTTCATGGGCTGTTGGCTCCACCGGTACCACACTGTCTTGATCAGTGTAGCTTTATAGTAAGACTTGAAATCAAGTAATGTACATCCTCCAGCTCTCTCATTTTTCAAGATTATGTTAGATATTCTAAGTCCTTTGAATTTCCATACAAATTTGAGAATCAGATTGCCAATGTCTACCCCCCCCAAAAAAGCCTATTGGGTTTATGGTTGTGATTACATTGTATCTGTAGATAAAATTGGGGAGAATTGACATTGTAACAATGTTATTCTTCTCATCCATGAACATGGGATGCCTTTCCATACAGATAGGTTTTGTTTTTCTTTCTCTCAGCAGTGTTGTGTCGTGTTCTGTGTACAGCTCTCGTTCATCTGTTAAATTTATTTCTCAGCAGGTAACTTTTAGGCTATTATAGATAAATTAACTTTTCTATTTTTCAAATGTTAGCCGCTATAATGTGATTTGTTTTTGTGATAGGAATATGTGGAAGCTAACGTTGGTCACAATTTACCTTTTTCAAAAAGCAGTTAAAACCTGTTTTTTTCATCCCTCCCCCGAGGCAGCAGAGAGGCGGGGCGGGTCTGGCCTCCGCCTGAGAGCCGGGAGACCAAAACTTAGGCCCATTTACCTCTTCCTGGCACACAGGGCCTGTGTCAGTTTGGCCAAAAACTGTGGAATTTACTCCTCATTCTCTGCAGCCTTTTTAAATAATATCCATAGAGATAAAACTTGGAACTCTGCTTTACTAATACATTTGCAAATCCGATGGAAGCCTTGAGTTTTCTCCGTGAAAAATGCACGCACGCAAGTTGCATGTGCCATTTTGGGATATACAGGAAACCTCTGAAGCCTGTTGGTCAGCCTTCTGGGGTCGGCAGACCTCATATTCGTGAACCCCTGTTCTAGAATCGGGGCTCCGGGTGGGAAGGGGCTGACTTCCCTCCCTTCTGCAGCTTCTGTACCCAGCAAGGGATGGGATGAGGGCCGAGGACTCTAAATCCCACAGTGTTTGTGTCATTTTCTAGCAGAGAGAGTATAGGGTTCCATACCCCCGGGATTTGTTCTTTCTTGCTCTGCTAGGAACACAGCAGAGGGACAACTTGGGTGGGCCACCAGCTGTCCCACAAAAGCTCCTACTTCTCCGTTGCTCTCAGTGACACCAATGTGGCAGTTCCCTGCCAGGCAGCGGCCCCAGGTGACAGCCTCGCTGCAGAACCCTCCCTGGCTGTGTTCGGCTGCCGGTGCCCTTGCAGTCAGCCCGACTTCAGCGCCAGCCCTACGCAGGAAGTCCCTCCAGCAGGGTGCGGGTCCCAGGGCCCGCTGTGCTTGGTGGCACTGGCAACCCCTTTCTCTTCCTAACGCCCCAGACTGATGTCACAGACAGCGCCTTTCTAATGATTCCCAGGAGCCAACCGTGACAGTAACGCTGTGTGTGCTTCCATCCACCCAGGGCCCGGGGACATGGGCGGCAAGCTGTCCATGCCAGGCGGTGACCCCACAGCGCGGTGTCCCGGGACAGAAGACATCCACACCGCCTACAAGCAGGGAGACCTCAGCAGGGCCCGCCGCCTGCTCAGAGAGGCTTGCGACGAGAGCACGTCCCAGCTGGAAAAGGTACGGTCGACGCCGACCCTCCGGCCAGAACCGAGGATGAAGGCTGCCACTCGGATGTCCTTGTTGCCATCATAATCCTAATGGGCATTTAAAAAAAAAAAGAAAAAGATTTTACTTATATATTTTTAGAAAGGGGCAGGGAGGGAGAAAGAGAGGGCGAGAAACATCAAAGTGCGGTCGCCTCTTGAGCACCCCCTGCTGGGGACCTGGCCTGCAACCAGGCATGTGCTCTGACTGGGAATCGAACCAGCAATGTTTTGGTTTGCAGGCTGGCGCTCGATCCACTGAGCCACACCAGCCAGGGCCGTAATGGGGACTTTTCTATTGTGTTCTGGACATGCCTTGTTTCACGTGTACCATTATGGGTGCCAGTCCTTTCGCGGTGACTTCTCAACCTGTTGTCACCCAAGGTCACCACCGCCACCTTCCCAAGAAAGAAGGCAGGAGTAACTGACGGGTAAAGAGCAAAATGCCAACCTGAAGGTTTAGTCTACAGCGCTCTTTCACACTTCTTTCATTACAAAAATAGCACGTGCTCAAAAAAAAAAAAAAAAAAAAAAAGGAAATTTAGCAATACGTAAAAGCAGAGAGGAAAAAAGAGCAGGGAAGTAAAAATATCCCTAACACATCCCAACACTCCACTCAGCAGTTTTAGTAATGTTCTTCCAGCCTGCTGATCCGAGGTATTTCTAATGTAGACGCAGTCCTATTGTATGCATAGACTTCCATACTGCTTTTTCTTACGTAATGTTGCATCAGCAATTTTCTGTCTGATTGTACACGCGTTAGATGCAGCACTCTCGTGAGAATGGGGCGTTGAGCCTCTCACTAACTGGCGGAAGTCTAGACAGCTGCTGGTGTGTGCGCTGAGTCAGTGAATCAATTTCTGTGGCTTTTCTTCCTAATGCAATGTGGGGGCTGCTGGGCCCTGCCGTGGGCAGAGTGGCCGCTGTGCGTTTTTCTTTTCGGATCATATTGAATATGGGACTCTCTACCGTCCTCCAAATATACCGTCCCTTACTATACCTTGCCAGGCATGCCCTGTGTGAGCCTCTCTCCAAGTCCTGCGCTTCCCCGGAAGTCAGGGAAGGAGAGGAGAGAACATAGGTCTTTGGAGCCACACTGACTTCTGTTCAAATCCTCGATAGTTCTGCTGACTCATAAACTCCCTCTTCATTTCCTTAATCATAGACGCAGGATGTAAATACAGCCCTGGCCGGGTAGCTCAGGTGGTTAGAGCATCATCCTGATACGCCAAGGTTGTGGGTTCGATCCCCGGTCAGGGCCCATGCAAGAATTAACCAATGAATGCATCGATAAGTGGAACAACAGATCTCTCTCTCCCCCTCTAAAAGTCAATAAAAAATCAATAAGCAATCTACCTTTAAAGGAATATTGTAAGTTTAAAAGGATACAAATACAGATACATTCCTGCTATCATGATTAAGTGTGAACACATAAATAAAGCATTCCATGTAGCATCTGACACATGGTATGAGCTCGATAAGTATCAGTCTCTGTCCTTGGGACTCCATTGACCCATCCTTGCCCGTCTCTCCCTAAAGTGGTCTCCAAACGCACTGGTTTGCTAAACTATTCAGCGAGCAACCTAGGCTCACTTGTGGCCATTTTAGGCAAACTCACGACTCAAACGTAATTGTAAACTCACAGAGGCCAGAAATCACCGCTGCATCCGAAGTGCTCAGCCCAGCGCCTTGCACGCCGCATGTCCTCGGGAGGTGCTGACGTCACACCAACTGCCTCACTCTGGCCTGGGCTCTGCGTCTACCCCCCGAGTCCTGACAAGCAGCCGAGTGCCAGGAGCACTTAAAATTTCAGTAATGCAATCAAACCCGGCACACACGCACCCAGCATCTACCTGAGCATCCTTTTAGCAGGCCCAGGGAGGCCATGAAAAGTCAGGGCCATTTTTACAGTCCGTCTACGATTACCACGGACTAGCTGTGTGATCTTGGACAAGTTATGAAACCTCACCGGAACTGCGTGTCCTTGTTCATGTATTCGTATTTTGCCCAGCCCTGGCTGGTGTGGCTCAGTTGGTTGGAGTGTCGTCCTGGAACTGAAAGGTTGCAGGTTCGATTCCCAGTCAGGGCATAGGCCTGGGTTGCAGGTTCGATCCCCAGTCCGGGCACATGCGATTCCCTCATCAGGGCATGTACACGAGGCGACCAGACAATGCTTCTCTCTCACATCAATGTTTCTCTCTTCCCTTCCTCTCTTGCTGAAAGCAATGAAAAAAAAAATGTCCTCGGGTAAGGATAAAAACATTTAAAAATAAAAAGTATACTGCCTGCCCCATAGGTCCAATTTCCACCCTACCCTTTTCCTCTGGGCACCAGGTCAAAAGCCCACTGCATGTTGCTGGGGATCTTCGTCCCTGGCTTCAGGTCTGAGTCTCTGCATCTGGCATGTCCCTGTGTGAATACCTGGCGTTGGGGGGTGGGGGTGGTCCCTCAGAAGACCTGGCTGCCTTCTCATTCTGAGGTCCACACAGCACGTGTCAGGTGGTTCCTGAGCTCCAGCTGGGTGCCAGGTGGGGATACTCGATGCTCCCTGTCCTCCTGAAGCTCTATCCCAAAGAAATACAAGCGAGCCACATTAATAACATCCAATTTTCTAGCAGTTACGTTAAAAAAGAGAGAGAGAGAGAGAGAGACAGGTGAAATTTTAATAATCTATTTTATTTAACCTGAATATATTAAAGATGATCATTTCACCCTGGCCCCGGGTGGCTTAGTCGATCGGAGCTTGTCCCATACACCAAAACGTTGTGGGTTTGGTTCCTGGTCAGGGCACATGCCTAGGTTGCCGGCGCAAGTTCGATCCCTGGTTGGGGCACATACGGGAGGCAACTGATTGATGTTTCTCACATAGATGTCTCTCTCTCTCTCTCTCTCTTTCCTCCCCCTTTCCACTCCCCTCCTCCTTCCTCTTGCTCTGAAATCCATAAACACATCCTCAGGCAAGGATCTTTTTTAAAGATCATTATTTCAACAGGGAATCAACATAAATATTATTGACGAAACCGTTTACCTTTTTTTGTACCGCGTCTTTGAAACCGCATGTGATTGTACACCTTCAGCACCTCCGGTGTCGCAGGGGCCACACTTCCTGTCCTCAGCAGCCACGTGCGGCCAGCGGGCCGTGCTGGGCAGCTCAGCCCCAGTCTCGCCCACAGACTTCATGAGGCATGTAGCGTTGAGTCTCTTGGCGATTTCCAGCAGCTCAAGTCTCACTGGAGTCCCGCTCTGGTTCTGTGTTGACCAGGGCCAGCTCCTGAGCATCTCCGCAGCCTATGGGGACCTGGAGACCGTCCGCTACCTTCTCACCCAGAGACAGGTGGAGCTGCCGACGGAGCCCACGGATGACAACCCCGCCGTGGTAGCGGCGCACTTCGGGCACACGGACATCGTGCATGAATTACTCGAGTCTTTAACAGGTAAGTCCCCGATCATGTGCTCTTTGACACCAATCAGGGGACCCTCTTAGGAGGCATTTGGGGGGCTATGCCCCCAAATGCTTCTTTCTTCCCACTTTTACCAATCATGGGTTCTGGCAGCAATACCACATCCCACATCTTACTCCCTTCTTCTTACAACAGAAATTCTTTCACACTGTATTTGATAAAGAACAGGACCTATGTCCCTCTCTTTACACTTTCATAGACGTTAGTTTTTAAAGCAGTTTTAGGTTTACAGAAAAATTGAGGAGGGAGTCCAGAGAATTCCCATGGACCAACCCCACAGTTTCCCCTGTTATTACATTTTGTATGAATGTGGTACATGTGTTACAATTGTTGAGCCAATATTGATACAGTGTTACTAACTAAAAGCCATAGTCTCCTTTAGGGTTGTACATTCTACAGGTGAGGACAAATGTATGATGATATGTATCCATCATTGCAGTATCTCACAGAATAGTCTCAATGCCCTAAAAATCCTCTGTGCTCCACCTGTCTATCCCTCCCTCCCCCCTCCACCTCTAACCCCTGGAAACCCTGGTCCTTTTGCTGTGTCCATAGTTTTGCCTTTTCCAGAATGGCATATAGTTGGAACCCTGTAGTATGTAGCCTTTTCAGACTGACTTCTTTCGCCTGCCCATAGGCATTTTGATTTTCTCTACGTCTTTTCATGTCTTCACAGCTCAATTCTTTTTATCTCTGAATATTACTGTGTGCCATGGGATGCTGTTTTTTTTTTTTAGTAACAAGTCATTTTTTCTCTTGGTTGACTCAGAGTGTCTGGCCTCCTTTAATTTCCCACGGTGGCCTCAGATCCACAACACTGTACAAGTCCAGGCATTGCTGCAATTATAGGCTGAGGCATTGCCTCACCTGTGGTTGTGGAGAATTAAGGTATTGCTTGGGTGCAGAGCAGGCTTCGTGCATGACAACCATGCAGCCGCAGAGGGCCCTGTTCTTAGAAGGGCCCCACACTTGGTTTAACATTCTGCAGTCACTCCCTTGAAATTTTTAATAATTTTTAAACAGGCAGCCCCACAAATTATGCAGCAGGTCCTCTTAGGGGGAGCCCAACTGTGTGCTTTGAAGTAGATTTGCAGTCAGAGTTATACAATTTTGCTGTGTATAATGCACTCCTGTATATAATATGCACCCACAGTTTTGTGTGCATGGTACATGGGATTATTATACCCATGGTATGGAATCATTATCCCCATGTATACGTGCATCCTTATTTTTCCCTCAAAAATGTGGGCAAAAATGTGTGCACGGTGAAATATGGTAGTTCTGAGAGGGGGCCCCCCCTTGTGTCTGGAGGGAGAACGAGGTTGTGGAAGGAGAAATCAGGGCAGCATTAGGGCTCACAGATGCTGGTTGGTCCAAGCAGGGAGGAGCTGGGCACCCTGGGGAGCCGATGGCTCACTCCCTGCCTTTGGGGATCCCCTAGAGTAGCTCTGTTCCAGCCCCAAAGAGCCCACACCAGCTGCCTCACTCACCAACATGCACAGCTTGCACGTTTTGAGCCTTTGCCCAGCCTGGGACCCTCTGCAGAACTTCTGAGACACCGACACTTTGTAAAAAAAAAATAGTCTAGCCCTTTAGTAGCTTCTGGGTCAGAGAGAGGTTAAGGAAGGCATCCTCCAAGATTACACAGCTGAATTTTAACCCTAAACGGCCTGTCTCCCAAATCCATCCCACTGTGTGTAATTCCCCTCTAGGGATGAGTTCAGGGCTGCGTTGGGGGAGGGGAGCGTTCAGAACCCCACCGCCCAGAGAGAATACCGGGGTCGTTCCTTCTAGGCTTCTCCCCACACGTTTTGTGTTCTGTTACAATCACTGTGTATGCTGTTTTGCATGCTGCTTGTCCTCACTTGGTATTAGGGGATGCACAGATGGGTTTATAACGACGTGGGGAAACGTAGCATGCAATTCAGAGAAAGACTGTTCCAGAAAACACCATCAACTCGGCAGACGTGGCGCTGAGCTGGAAACAGGGCAGCTGGATTTACGGGGGGTCACAGGGCAGCCCAGGTCCCTGCTGCGTCACTGTGCCTTTGCGCCATTCTCTCCCGCCAGGTCCCTGCAGCCCCCAGCGGCTGCTGAACTGGATGCTGGCCCTGGCTTGTCAGCGCGGCCACCTCGGGCTGGTGAAGCTCCTCATCCTGACACACGGGGCCGACCCCGAGAGCTACGCCGTCCGGAAGAACGAATTCCCGGTCATCGTGCGCTTACCGCTCTACGCGGCCATCAAGTCAGGTGGGTCCCCCAGTCCATCCGCCCATGAGGAACGTCGCCGTGTTGCGATATGGGACAGCGTCACCCTCCTCAGCCCTGGCTCTCAGTCACCTGCATGGAGACGCTTGCAACGCCTGCTGTATCTTTTTCAAAACGGCCACATCCTCCCTTATCCCCACCTCTCGGTCTCACCTCTGCAAGGAGATTTCAGAGACAGGGACCAGCTGCAGTGAATGTGTCTGTCGTAGGCAGCTCCGCATTTGCAGAGACCCACGCACACCCATACTAACAGGAACTCGACGCGCCGGGAGAAGGAAGGGACAAGTTCAACCTTTGTTGTACCGTTTCACGTATTAGCATCCGCCACCAATGGACAGATGGGATTCACCCCCATCTGAAACGCCCTGAGCTTTCCCTGTCTGTCCTCTAGGCAACGAAGACATCGCCATCTTCCTGCTGCGTCACGGGGCTTTCTTCTGTTCCTACATCTTGCTGGACAGCCCTGACCCCAGCAAACGCCTGCTCAGGAAGTACTTCATCGAAGCTAGTGCCTTGCCTAGCAGTTGTTCGGGGAAAACGGTGAGTGGTCCCTACTGTGGCTGAACGGGGAGAGAAGGGATAGGGGTCTCTTGTACCGTGGAACATTTTTAAGCCGTGAGCAAACAGGTATCACCCTGCCATATGCAACCACATGGATGGACTCGGAGGGCATTATGCTAAGAGAAATAAACCAGACAGAGGAAGACAAATAGCGTATGATCTCGCTTTTATGTAGAATCTGAAAAAGACAAACTCACAGGAACAGAGAGTGGAATGGTGGTTGTCGGAGGCTGGGGGTGGGGAATTGGGGAGATGTTGGTCAAAGGACACAAACTTTATTTAAAAGATGAATATGTTCTGGCCGTGGCCTGTGTGGCTCAGTTGGTTGGAGCTTCCCGTACACCAAAAGGTCATGGGTTCGATTCCCGGTCGGGTTCCTAGGCTGCAGGTTCAGTCCCCAGGTCAGAGCGCATATAAGAGGCAACTGAGCGATGTTTTCTCTCTCTCTTTCTCTCTCCTTCCTCCTGCCTTCCTCTCTCTCTCTAAAAGCAATGATAAAATATCCTCAGGTGATTAATAATAATAATAATAATAATAATAATAGACTAAGTTCTGGAGACCTAGTGCACAGCATTGTGATTAGTTAATAACACTATATGGTGTCCTTGAAAGTTTCTAAGAAAGTCAATCGTAAATGTTACCACCAAAAAGAACTGACAGGTGACATGAGAGAGGCCCTAGCTAACACTATGGTGGTGACCATTTTGCAATATATAAATGTGTCAAATCAACACATTGCACACCTAAACTCACACAATGCTAGATGTCAATTATAACTCAGGATAGCGGGAAAAACCATACACAGGGTTGAGCTTTAGTTTTCCATTTTAATAGCAAAAATAGTACTGCATTACTTACACAATCTTCACCTTGGCTTTTTAAACTCAGCGCTCCCTACGGACTCCCTGCAGGTCCACAAGGGCGGCCGTAAGCCTCTCTTTTCAGGACCTGCCTTGAATCAGTAGAGTGCGTGTAGCTCCGATGGCTCAGCCCCTGTCCTATTGGTGGGCATGTGGGTTATTCCCAGGTTTTGCTTCCTTGCACTATAGCCTGCTTTTCTAGGGTATGTGCTTACAAGGGACAACCACCCCCGCCCCCTGCAAAAGAATGAAACTGATTTATTAAAAAAAAAATGTATATTTATTCTTCCATGTTTAAACCTCAGTTGCCTTCAAATTCCTCTCCATTTGATGCAATACACCTATTGAGGCTTTTTTCCACTGCTCAAAGCAGTTTTTGAACTTATCGATTTTGATGATGCCTTTTAGTGCTTCTGCCCTTCTGTTAGTTTCATCTCTTCCACGTTGGCGAAACGTTTCTTTTTGAGGACTTTTTTCATCCAGGGATACAAAAAAAAACATTGCTCAAGGTGAGATGGGGTGAATAGCAAGGATGGAGCATGGGGGTCATGCTGTTTTTGGTCAAAAACTGCTGTACACTCAGCGCAGTGTGGGCAGGTGCTCTCGTAAATCACCCATCATGCAATGGGCAAACGCGTTGAAAGAGTCTTGAGAAAACATTCACTGAAGCCAAACTCAGCCTCTCACAACAACACCAGTTGGTCCACTGATACAGATGGGTTCCTAGAATACTCACCTAGCAGGGGAAGCCTGAACTACAATGCACCAGCCCTCCAGAATATAATTCTGTTTTCATTGTTGTCACTTTCCCCAAGATACACCTGTGTCCCACGCGGTGTTCTCTGTTCTGGTCCCCTGGCCCATTCATCTGTTTCTGGGCAAATAACATATTGTATTGATTACAACCCGTTAATGGAAGTTTTCTACTCATTTTTTTTCCCAAAAATATCTTGACTGCTATTAGATATTTTTTCTTCCATTTTGCGCATTTCCATGGCGATTCAGTGCCCATTTATGTTGTTTAATGACATTGTGGCATTTTCTCCACAGGTCGTAGGCCTTTCGTATTTATGGTGTCTTCTTTATTGTTTGGGACGCTATGTGAATGGAATTCCATAGAATTCTTTATTATTTCCCCTTCCAACCTAACATTACTCTTCCGGAGAAAAGCTCTTTTGTTTATTTATGTTTTATCCAGCCCCCTTACCAACTTCTCTTATTAATTCTAATAGTTGTGGAAGAGTGACTTGAGACTTTCAGGTATATGACCAACTCACCTGCAGATTTGAAACAGGTTTGTCTCTTCTTTTCTAACACATATATAACTTATTGTATTTCATGTCTTAATTGTGAATACCGAGAAATTTCAGAAGTTAAATAGTCATGATGATAGCAGATGTATCTCCCTAGTTCCTGATTTTTAAAAGTCCTGGCCTCAGCAATTTACGGGCATTTGCTGTAGATTTTCTGGTGAACAGACTGCTGTTATATTTAGGTAGTTTCCATGTATTTCTTTTTGCTTAGAACTTTTATTAGAAAAGGTGGCTGAAGTTTGTCAAATCCCATTTTGGGTAGCATTGCCACATTTGTGTAGCTTTTCTACTTGATTAATATCATGAATGATGATGATAGGTGTTTATTACAGAACTGTAATAAACGCCAATTGGCTTTTTTTTACTGCTGGGTTTGATCTACTGATCCTTTATTGACAATTTTGCATCTATACTGATAGCTGAATTGATCTATAATTTTGCCTATTTATGGTTTTATGATATTTTCATATAAGGCTATGTTAGTTTTACAAAATGGCTTGGGGAACTTCCTGTCTTATTATGATTTGCAGAAGTTGCATAGGAATTTTTATTGTTAAAGATTAATTACTTAGATGAAACTGGTATTTAGTTTCTGACTTTTTTGAAGTCATTGGTCAATTCAGGTTGTCTGTTTTCCCTTATTTACGGTTCATGAGGTTAAATTTTGGTAGAAAATTATCCATTTCTTTTAGATTTTTGAATTAGCCACCTTGGTATGTAGCATTTACATTTTACTTGTAATTTGTTCCTTTTTTTCTACCTGTAGTTATGGCTGTCTTTTCATTTATAATGTTGAACAGCTTTACTTTGTCTCTTTGGAACTTCATTAGACCAGCCAGGGATTTACATATTCTAGTGGTCCTGTTAAGGAACTTGATAGATTTTATTTTTTAAAGATTTCTTTAGGTCTGGGCAGTGTGGCTCAGTTGGTTAGAGCATCATCCGATAAAACAAAAGTTCGCAGGTTCAAGTCCCGGTCAGGGCACATGTCTAGGTTGCAGGTTCAATCCCCAGCCAGGGTGCACAGGCACATATGGAAGCCAATCGATGTTTCTCTCCTGCATTGATGTCTTTCTCTCTCTCTCTCTCTCTCTCTCTCTCTCTCTCTCTCTCTTTGTAGAAGCAATGAAAAAAAAAGTGCTCGGGGGTAAGGATTAAAAAAATAAACAGAATATTGATAACAGAATAAACAAGGTACTGGAAACTTTCTGTACCTTGTTACCTCTCTGTTTTTTCTTCTGAGTTATACAGCAGGGATAATTCTAGTATTCCTCGTGGAGAGCAGCTGTGCACTTAGCACAAGGCCTGGCGCATAGTACGTGCTCAATAAATATTAGTTAAATATTAGCCTCGCATTGCAAAAGGAAATGGTCCTCTAACCTTTCCACTTAGATGTGCTCAGTGTTTTTCCTCGTATTGTCTTATCATCTCAGCGAGAACTTCAGAGGATGTAATGTGTTTTACAGATGAACATATTGAGGTTTCGAGACATTTTGTTACTTGTCCAAGGACAGCACATACTAACAGTGGTGCTCAGACTAGAACCTGAGTCTTCTGAACATTGGGTTTTCCCCATTTCACGATTCCCAGACTGTACCTTCCAGCTCTTTCATGTAGATCAGCGGTTCTCATGCTTTTTTGTTCCTCGGAGTCCCTGGGTGCTTTTAGAAACCCTGGCGGTCAGGCCATGCATCTCGGATCTACTAATCCGCATCTCGGGCAGCCTCTGCAGAGGTAGTTTTTAAAAATTCCCCAGGAGATTCCACTGTGCTCCCAGGCTTGAGAACCTGGTGACTTTGACTTCTTCGCTTACAGTTAAAAGTAGAAGCAGTTGACATCTGTGCATGTGTATGATCTTTTCTACGGGCCAACTGCTGCTATGTTTGCCAAGACAGACACAGAGCGCGGAAGGGACTATTCCCTTCTGTGAACGAGAAGGCAAAGACAGATAACGTTGCTTTTCTTCTCCTTAGCCCTGTTGGGTAGAATCGAAGAGAAAATGAAATTACAGCACAGCCTGAGTCATAAGGACTCCTTGGGCTTCCCCAAAGCAGCGGGCACCTTTTTTTTATTATTATTCAAGTCCATGTCCAAGGCAAGTGCCTTGCAGAGAGCGTAGCTGGCTGTCCTCGTCTCTAACCTGAGACAGCGCCTCCCTTCTGCGCTGCTGGCAGAAGAGAGGGAGTGAGTCCACAGTGGTCCAGTCATGACTCAGAAACCACAGGTAAGGATTCCTAGTTTTCCAGGTGACCGGGGAGATTGGACTGGCACTTTCGGTTCAGAATCCTAGATAACACTCGTGCTTTGCTGCTGTGTAATTGTATATACGTGACCTGAAAACGCCCTTGACTTTGCTAACGTTCATGACAGTAACCTTGCCGAAGTAGTCATCTTGTTTTTGTGTGTGTTTGTGGTCTGCCTCCCCCCACCAGCTGATTGGTTGTTTTTCTTTTATTGTAATTGGTGCCTCCGGGGAGGCTGCGGACAGGGCATGCTCAGAGCCTTCCTGTGTCTCTGTGTCAGGCATACGCTGATCCTGAGGCTTCTAGAACCTGCCTCGGACATGGAGGATTGCAGAGAAGCCCACGGTGATTTTCCACTGTCTGCAGAGGTTTTGCTGGTGTTTGCGAAGGAATGTCCGAGAGCCCACGCCACGTGGTCTTGAACACACTTTGAAAAGAGCAAATGCGAAGCCTTGTGGGACCTGGCCCAAGCCTTCCCCTGGCCTGGCTCATCGGTGCCCCTCTCAAAAGCCACCAAACTCTCGCCTGAATGTTTAATGAGACAGCCTCTGCTCATGGTGACT